AAAGAAGCACGTCATGCAGACATACCCACAACCAGCAAAAAAAATATTTCCATCGATAATCATCAAAATTTGCAGATAGGCCAAGTGAGAAAAGTGCAGCTTGAGAACTTCTTAGAATTTGATGTAAGGATACTGACTTTGCATATGTTAACATGTGATGTTGACAATTTGTGTTTTAATGCTTATCAAGCTTTAACTTTCTGAATCTGAACATTTAGTGTCATTAAATTGTCTGAGCCCCCTATTGTCTGACCCCTCCATAATTTCCCACAACTGTGAAAATGTAAAATCAATAAAAATTGACAAAATAAATATCGATATTAGTTAAAATTATAAAAAAATAAAGTTGAATTCTTCCTAGCCTACATATTAACTTTTCTTAAGTAGAAAAGCCAGTTGACTTGGAGAGCCCCTGAGTAGCATCAAGAGAAAGCTAAACAATCTATTGTTTGTCATTGCTTACTTATTACAAGGTGCCCTACTGACAGAAATTCTGTCCTGGGGATTTCAGGGGAAGCAAGGGTATCGGACCAGATCTTGCCTTTGCACAGCATGTTCCCCTCTTGATTCCAAGGTACACATCTCCAGCAATACTATATGGTTGTGTGTCGTTCACAGGTGATCCACAACAGCAATATAAAACCGTTTGAACTACTCAAGCCAGTGAGTTCAAACGATTTACAGAGTCAAGTAAAAATGAAATTCAGCAGGATAGTGCACCACACTGCATGTAGCATGCAGATCTACAGATATTGTGGTTAAAATGAAGCAGTTTCTTTTGTAGAAAACCATTTATGCTTTAAATAGTACAACAGGTCTGAATACATATAACTTCTTGAAGTCACATGCAGCTCTCTGAATATGGCACACTAGGGACAAGTTAGTGCTTTTACTATGAACAAACCCTGAGAAACTGCAGTGACGCATTCTGTGGCTTTGCCCTTAATCATCATTGGTTTTTAAGCATGCCCACCCCAGAAAAGTCAACAATGAGACACAGCATGGAAGCAAACTGCAGGAGGCTGCAAACCTTGAAAATGTGCTATTTCCTACCTGGTGCTTCCCTGCCCACACCCCCGTGACTCTGCTGCTGCACTGACTGTTGAGCTGCAGGGGAAAGGTCTCTCCTAGTAACCACAATGAGCTGCTGAGTTGGAAAACTATTCATTTAAATACAAATGTATTCCAATTTTTTTTTTTTAAACAGACTCAGAAGAAAAGAGAACGCTCTCTTTGGCGAGCACACGTTTGAGAGAGAGAGAGAGAAAAACACATCAATTTAAGGCTTTTGAAAGGTGCCAATTGGCCAGCATCAAGACTGAAGTACTAAACAAGCTATTTAATAAATGAGATATGGCCAGTGGAAACCTCCCTGCTAATGCGCCTCAGACCCAGCCCAAAGGCCCAGCCCCAGAGATAAGAGTAGTGGAGCTGGCATGCCCTCTTAACCCCTGGCCTTCAGCTGAGACTACCTAGACAGGTGGTAGTTAATGCCATTGCGATGGGCGATTTGTCATGTGACACTGTTTTCCAGGAACAAGACTTGCAAATTACTTTCCCAGCTTGCTCTGAGCCTAGTGTAAAACCTGGAGCAGATTATTTTCTTCTTCCTTCCAGATGATGTTTCTTCTTTCCATTGTTCACCACAGCTACATATGGGAAATTTCTCCAGTCCTTCCCCCACACACTGTTAATCTTTGAATCACAAGATTTGTTCCACCCGCAACACTCCAGCAAAAAGCCTGTGACACAGTGGTCCTTCGGGTACTCTAGATTTACCAGCAGGTATACGCAGGAGTGAGCAGCGCTGTTCGAGTGGCTCCCGTTATTCTGGGCTGTGAGATCCCAGAAGATTATATTGAGAGATTTCTCAGCAGCCCCGAGAGCACTCTGATGGGGGTTACCACAGGTGCCATCTTGTCACCCTTTTTGTTCAAGGTTTAGATGGGGCTATTAGGGGAGGGGAGCAAGGAACATCAGGAGCAGGGTTTTGGTGACCCCCCAATTTTGTGGCTCCAATCTCAACTGATCCAGCAGGCATGTTGAAGTCACCGACCCCATGTGTAGAGGAATATGGCTGAGACCTAGCAGACTGAGGCTCAATCCAAAGAAAACTTGAGGCAACACTGGGAGGTTTGGAGAATCAACCAGAAGCTATGGCAGGGATTACAGTACATCTTGGTGAAGGGGCAGTGCCTGATGCTTGTACCAGAGTTCAGCATTTGCGGGTCTGACTGAACTATGGACAGCATGTAGATAACCATATTACAGCCATGGTCAGGACTGGCTGTCTCCATTTATGCCTGGGCAGAAGGGTAAGGCCTTATCTTTCCGATGCAGATCTTGGTAATGTCGTCCAGGCGCTTACATGGACTGATGTGCAAATCTGGAGGAGTGAGAGAGTATCCTCCATGAAATTCCAAGATCGCCCCTTGAATAAGGAATGTGCTAATGCTAGGTAAGGGGGGGGGAGGGGTTTATTCATGAGATTTTCTAATTCTTTTCCTATAACTTTGCTTCCTGGTTCAAAATGTCGCAATCTCCCTGTGTGCAGTTGTTAAGTCATCATTACATACCATCCTGGTGCTGAAAAACAAGTAATCTGCCAGTTAAAATATTATTTACTCAAGGACCACATTCTTTTGTTAGGAAAGCACGTTGGGATGAAAGACCTGGTTTTTATTGTTATAAGAATATGCTGGCCATAAAAACAATTGGATTCCTCCAAAATAATGTCTGTTTTCTCCCAAGGAGCATTAAGGTTATAGGATTGGATTTTCAGAGGTGCCTAAGGGAGTTAGATACCCAACTTCCACTGAAAGTCAATGGAGGTTAGATTCCTAAGTCCTTTAGAAGATTTTGAAAATCCCACCTATACCTCGTTCTGACTGGCGTAATGTGGAGAATACTTTTCTAGCTATGGGCTAGTTCTGTCTAGCTTGTGTGTGCTCATGGAGACACAGGATTGCTTCCAAGACAATCAAAAAGGGAAGCATGGTGCCCGGCGGCAGGCAGACAGAACCAGGGCTCTGTTCCCGCTACACAGCAGGTGACACAAGGGGCGGGAAATATGCAACATCACTTAAATAAGTGTAGCAGCTTGTGGGTTCCCCTGTGCACTGAGTTGTGGGAGGCAGAATGCCTCCAGTACTCTTCCTGGGGCAGTGCTGGGCCCTCAAGGTGCAATGGAGCCCTAAGGAAAGAACACACCTGGGCACGTTAGGAGAGCAAGAAAACATGGAGAGGTATTTGACAGAATTTTTATAGACAGTGTTTGTTGCACTGGGATTTCAGACCTAATCATCTGTGTGAATTTAATGCTCCTCACAATATGGAACATGGAAGCATGGGATCAAGCCAGACAGAGGGCCTGATTTGCCATTGTGAAGCGAATCAGGCTCTCAGCATCGACTCCTACACACCAGCCCTTCCCCATGATGTGCGACTGCCGAACTACACAGTGAGTTTAGGATGTGCACCAAAGTGTAAGGGCTGGGATGAGACCACATGCACACTCGTGAATTAAACAAAGCCTGAATTCCACCAGAGGCTAGTGTGGAAATCTCTGTAGGGGGTGATGTGAGCAACAGCAAACTACAGTTGTCCCCAAAGACCAGTAATTCATTTATTCTGCCTTTTCCTCTACAATAAATATATGGTTACAATGTAAACAAGGTGAAATGGAAATTCTAAAATCAGGATTTCATGACTGTGATTGAATTAAACACTATCACCCCTCCCCTCCCACCACAAAAGCTAGGATTAGCGACACATTTCCAGGTACAAATCTGTTTTTACACAAGCACGAGGGTTCCCCCGCCCCAAATGCACAGACCCGCACACAGATTCCTATTGCACCGCTTCCTTTCCTCACTCCGCCTGGATCCGTCTAACTGAAAATCTAAGTCATTTAAATGGACAGCTTAAAATGCTGTCGGTCTAGAGTGGGATTTTCAAAAGCACTCAGGGTTGGCCTAACTCGGCTCTTCTCCCAATGAGGAATAAATAATAAAGCTACTGCTGACTTTAATGAGAGCAGAGCTGGGCCAATGCTGAGCACTTTTGAGAATCCCACCCTTAACAAATCTACATTTAATGGATAACAAATACATGACTTCAATGGATCCAGTTACAGTCAACCCGTGGCAGATACATGGATAGCACTGACCTGATTATTTTCCTGTCTGGCAGGTACAATGCTGTAACACTCCGTTTACTTTGTCTGCATGCCAAATTTCTTACTCAGTCGTCATTGTTTAAAATGTCTCAGGAATAACCAACTCACCCATAATGAAGAAAGCTGGCACACAACATAAAGCATCCTGTTCATATTTGCGGTTTTTTAGCTGGTTGCTTCCACCTGTATTTCCAAGCTTTAAACTGTGCCTATTAAAACTTCAGTTGCACTACGCACATTCTACAGTAATAGGCAAAAATGTTTGGCCTGATCCCCTACGACTATTACGTAAAAATATTGTATTACACACACACACACCCACACACACACACCCCCACACACCCCTCTTATTCATATACCAGCCTTGCGTAGCCAATCCTCTGCACTTTGGAAGAAAGGTGCCATGTATACAGAGACTGTGTCCCCAGCCTGTTGACGTAATGATCGCTTTCAGTCATTTCCCAGTATCTTAGAGAAATGTCATTCAAAACTAAGGATGACAGATATGTGAGGGAATGAGAACACAGGAGACCATCTCCCCTTCTTGGTAATGATGTACATGATGGCCCCCAGATGCCAGAGAGAAATTTAGATCAGCACTTAGGGTGTAATTCACAAGAGCTATGTGCCACTTAAAGCCTCATTAAAGGGCTTTATTGGAACTTACATGGTGCTCAGCCCCCCCCCCCCCCCCCCGTTGGCTTCATCTGCATAGGGTCAATTTAATGGTTAAATTAGATGTCACAGTGATAGCGTGACAAAGAGAGCACGCAAGTGAGAGCATATATTTGAAAGTCAATGAGCTAATACAGTATTCTCTTACCTGGCTCTGGTGGCATGCAGACACAGGAGTAAAATGTGATATAGTCCACTTTAAAATGGGAATTGATTGGGTAATAGTCTGCTAACTTGATCATCTTCTTGAAAGCATCATAAATGAAGATGAAGCTGATCAGGGAGGAAAATCCCTCTTCTGTGAAGCGGGTGAAGTATTTGACCAGGAAGCTGGCATCAGTAGCAACCAGAACAAGACACTGGAAGGCTGACCACAGGCCAATCCAGAGACGGAACTCCAAGTAATCAAAGTCATGGTCTCTGCAAAACAAGTGTTTTAAAATTGGTGACAATGAGGAAAAAAAATACCCGAGGCTGGATAATTCCATAAAGGGTTAGAGAACGTCCCAAAGTGAAACTGGGAAATGTATGGATTACAAGAGCTGTGTTTATCAGGATATATAAAAAGCAATAATTCCTGTAACATTTAAAACAGTAGGTTCGGTGTTTTTTTAGCCAATGATAATGATGGGGTTTAGTTTAACAGCTGAGTTAGCAATTGAACACCTAGGGCTGACCAATTTTGCTTCAGCCTCCATTGCTGTGTATTACCGGTGAACTTGAGTGCTTTTTAGAATAAATAACATGGTTTAGCACTGCAGAAGATCAATGAGAAAATATAAATGGAGACATAAAAGGCCAAACCTCCAACTAGTGCAAATCAGTGTTACTCCATTGACATCAGCTTATACTAGCTGACCATCAGGCCCAAAGTTTACAACATATCTTAGAAAACCAATTGAAAATTAACCTCCCTGACAAATATCAAGATCAGGATTCAGAGTTTCCCATGCAGCAGCAAAGGGAATGCAGGACCTGCCCTCCTTTAAACATCAATCATATTATCAAAAGAAGAAATACACAAGTCTGAACTCACGGCCCTGCACTCAGAGCTTGCAAATTGTAGGGAACAAAGGAATTATCTACAGTATTTGTTATGACTCGGTTTACCTATTTAATATTATCCTGCCTAACTGCATGGAATTAATCAAAAGAGGCTGCTAGGAGGAAGCAAACAGGAAACAAAACAACAACAAAGATAAGTTCCTGCCAAAATCTTAAAGGAAACAATGGGGGAGCTATTAATTGGGACATGTCCACCCACTGGGCTCCAGCCAGGCTGGAGGTTAATTTTTCCCAGAGCCTAGGATCAAAGAGGCATTAAACCATTAAAAACCCTAGCTGATGAGAGGAGGTGAGCACACAGCAGCTGGAGACGAGTCTCTGACAAAGAGAGAGAGAGAGAATGCTACAGAGGCTGTCTGACTCTCCCAGGCCAGGAGCACAGGGGTCTGGATTGAGTGGAATTTATGCAAAACTTGCAAGAAAATAATAAAGTTTAGGTAAGACCCAGGCATAGGCCTTTTGTTGTTTTATCCCTCTCTGCTTGCTACATGCCTTTGGGTGAATAAAATAACGCTTTGTTTTGAAGAAGCTGTTTCTGAGTCACTTGGACCAGCTGCTGGACTCTCAGGTGCCAAACGCACCGACCCAGTCTAAGGGTGGTAATAGGACTGTGTGATTCCACTCAGAGAGGGGTGAAGGTGGTGGAACCTGCACCAGAGAAGTGCAATTGAGAGGATATCAAAAAGGGGATTAAAAAAAAACCTCCGCTTGCTCTGTAACGCAGGTAAAAATCTTTTACTGTAGTTTGAAAAAAGAGCTCTACTCAAGCACTCCTTAGGAATTCAGGACTCGCTTCACATTTAGCCCAGAACCCTAACAGAACAGTGTGTGGCAGCATTACGAGAAGACGTTTTCAAAGTGAGGGGAATGGGTCTATACTCCTGCAGCCACACGGCTATTTTTAGGCACTAGCACATGTACGTCTACCTGAGCTGGGAATTACACCTCCCAGCTGCTGTGTTGATGTACCCTTAAGGGCGGATAATGCATTAAAGATTATGAGGGACTCAGACACTGAGGTACTTATATGGCCCCATTACTGAAGAGGGACACATTCCTGATGTTTTTCCTCCTTTAATCTGTTTTACTTCATGCCACCAATAGACTTATTCACATCAGTTTTCTAATGTTTACTTGATTAATCGCAGTGGGTTTTGGGGGAGGAGAAGCGAGAAACTTATTTCATAAAATGAAATATCGTCTAATCCAGAGATCTCCACAGAAAACAACCATGCAAACATTTTCTGAAGATTAAGACCTTGATCACATTGCCTTCTATAAATCTTTTGGGAAGGCCTGCTGACATTTATGCCTGTTTGGAGTAGACCCATGGTTTCCACAAAGGACTTTTGAACTTTCTGTGCATCAGTCCATGGAATTCTTTCTAATTTTGTTGCCACTATACAGGATGTTCTTGTGAGCAAGAAGAACTGAAATGAATTACTGAAAAATCACAGTGTATGACTGCAATGGTCACGTGGCAGTGGCTCTCCATAAATCCCACTGCTACACACCAAAAGGGCATAGTCACAGCAAGTCTGAAAACCATCTCCTCTTTCAGGAAAAAAGAGCAATATTTTGTATCTCTTGTTTTTTCCTGCTGCTCACAGTACTTGGATTTGGATCAGATCATCCAGGCTAGAGGCATGTTGTGACACCAAAGTGTTGTCCTAATTTATACCAGTGAAAGAAAAAGGAGAGGATGCCCTTCTCTTGCAGAGGTCCCAAGGAGTTGCTTTCGCCCCTCTAATCTATTTCTCCACACACACACACACACACACACACACACACACACACACACACACACACACACACACTCTCTCTCTCTCTCTCTCTCCAGCGTCTTGCTGCCTGTGCTCCAGGGCTGGGCTGGGCGGAGGAGAGAGACAGGAGACCCACAGTGGACAGAGGGAATCAGGGGTGGAGGTGGGGGAGAAGAGGGGAGTTTTCCCCTGTAGAAAAGGATGTGCGGGGAGCACGGTGCTTATGTTTGGCACCCAGCTCCCAGGCAGAGCCTCCACTGGATTTCCTGCTGATGGGCTCTGTCACCTGAGCCCCTCTCACACTGCCAGGCAGGGAAGAAACTGGCAGCTTCATAAATAGCTGTGGATTTTATCTGTAGCCTTTTTTCAAAGGAAGATGGATTTTCTCCCCTCCCCCCAATAAACTTGGTGTTTCAGTGCCTCAGCAGGTAGCGCCACAACTAAGGGCCTGTCTACACTACAGGTTATGTTAGTATAACTTCCGTCGCTCAGGGGTGTGAATAAGCCACCCCCCTGAGTGATGCAAGTTACACCGCCCTAAGTGCCCGTGTGGAGAGCTTCTCCCGCCAACGTAGCTACTGCCTCTCGTGGAGGTGGTTTTCTTATGCTGACGGGAGAGCTCTCCTGTCGGCATAGAGCGTCTTCACCAGACACACTGCAGCAGCACAGCTGCATCAGTGCATCAGCTTCTAGTGTAGACCAGCCCTAAGTCTGTGGAGGGATATGAACCAAGGCCGTAGGAGAACAAGCTTTTGATAACAAAAAGAGTTTGGGGAGGTAATTTAACCGATTATGAATTTTAATACATACAATATTGCTTGTATTATAGAAACAAATGGGATCCCTGCACGAATGATTTCTGTATGACTGCACAGTTGTATACTACTAAGCTTTGGGGAAAGTTACTGCAGGAAAGAATAAAAGTTGATGGCTGAACTCACAAAAGGGTGAATGGACACTTTTGCTAAACATCTCGCTGTGCTGAAATTTATCAGACTCTCTGTCTCAGAGGCTGAGAACAGTGGGTGATCATACGTGCTTCAAACACTAATGATTCTGAAATACTGCTAAATGTGATGAGACAGACACTAAGATCATGCCGTCCTTTGAGGCCCTCATTTAAATTGTATCACATTATTTTCAGACACAGTCACACCACCACAAATGTGGTAAGATTAATGATGAAATCAAGTGGATTCATCCCACTTCTAAATGAGCATCATACAGAACTCTATAGATAGATCACAAATATATTTTTACATGGCAGCATTACTATATCTCAAAAGCATATACAAACATGTCTAATATTTTCCAGGTTCTGTAAAAGAGAGACAGGAATGGTCATATTCGATCATCTTAATTAAAATAGCCTCCAGAAAATAACTAGAATTATCAAGCGAGATTACTAAACATCCACAAAGGTTAATTTCCCTAGAAACCTCGATATAATGAAGGAAGGAATGAAATTACGCTTTAGTTACCTAGACACCTCACTTTATGCCTCCCTTTCTTATTGCAATTTACAGCCATGTTCAGTTTAAAAATCTATTAGGCCTTTTCCATGTATAATTACAATCAGTTAAAAAACTGTCCCGTATTACAAACTGCTCTGGTAGGGAACCCACTATTTCCTTAACACTGAATGTTTTTGTATTTTGAAATTCAGATCTTTAACAATACATAATATCATGGGTTCTCTCTTTATGGGGAGATGAAAGAGACATGGTTTGGTTGGTTCTGTTTAACTTAACACACTCCCATTTTGTATGGCATCAAAAATGTCAACAGCGCAGCAGATGCACCTCTACCCTGATATAACGTGGTCCTCGGGAGACAAAAAAATCTCACCGTGTTATAGGTGAGACTGCATTATATCGAACTTGCTTTGGCCCTCCCAGTTCCTTGTTCCCTGACCGCCCCCTTCAGAGACCCCCATCCCTAATCACCCCAGAACCCCACCCCCTACCCAACCCCTCTGCTCCCTGTCCCCTATCCACACACCCCACCCCTGACAGGTACTCACCAGGACTCACCAGCAGCGGTGGGAAGCGGAGCAGCCTGGTCCCAGCCCGCTCCACTCCGCCATCTCCCAGCCACGGCGCTCCACTTCCTGCCGTCGGTGAGTGCGGGGAGGTTGGGGAAAGGACGGCCCCCCTACTCACCTGGGGCAGGAAGCGGAGCAACGCGGCCCCAGCCTGCTCCACTTTCCTTGTCCCGGCCCCAGCCGTGTCGCTGGGGAAAGGTCCTGCACTCACTGCAG